TAGAAATACACAGCATATTGTATTCCACTGGAAAACTGTATTATTATAAGCATCTAGTAAGGTTTATGCTTAAACCTACCCATACCACCAAACCTTAGTCCCTAAACGTACTCGTATCACACCTCAGTAGCAGCAGAAGTGTTGTGCATTAACACAAGCTTTTAATCATTTTATAACATCTGTCAAGATCATTTGTAGATTTTCAATAAGTGCTCGATCCATTAAGCAATATATAATGTTTGTTAATGATTTATTGATGAAAGTTATTATAAAGTGTTACTCTCAAAAGAAGGTAATTTCTACTTTCATGTCCCCATTCTATGTCTTAAAATTATAATATAATCAATGCTTAAACTGACTGTTACAACTCAGTCTCCACTATATGGCAGTTTTGTAAATAAAGCTATAAATTACTCATGTTACGGAGAAATGAATGCATTAATGCAGTTTAAATTGTTTGCGATTACTCATGAAATCCAGAGTGCTAGCAATAATGCTATGTGAAATAAAACTTAACATAAGCAGATTTCTGTAACTGAAAGAGAACAAGAGCATGGCAGTGCAAACATCTAAGTATTAGCCATGGATTTCAGCAATTAAATATTTGGTTTGTGGTACACTAAAATAACCCTTCCTGTTTGCTAAGATTACAGAAATTGGTGGCAATATCAGAATTTTAAAATATGGTTAAAAAAAAATAAAAAATATCATCATGCATAACACCTTCATGCAAAATAACTCTCACTAAACAATGGCTTTCGTTACTATCAATAAGAGTTCCTGAAGCTTAACCAGAGCATTTTAATACTTAGAAATATTACAGAAATACTTTGATGAATTGCAGCAACAGTACATTAATTTTCAAAAGTCACAGATTTCAAAACCTGTGAGGTGGCATTTACCGTATTAGTCCGAATATAAGACGACCCCCCTTTTTCCAGATGTACCTTTTGGAAAAAGGCTTTTTTAAAAACCAAATCTTGTTTTTTCTCAGTAAAACACATTTTGTCTTCAATTATTTTTATATTGCATATTTTTCCTATTTTAATTTTTGTTTTGAAAGTATGGTAAAAACTGGTAAAATGTACCAACAATCACATTAAAAAAATATACACTTTTCATACAGTCACATGGCTCGTGGCACCAATGCTGCTTTGAAGTCATGCCACACCCCCGTTGGTATGAACATAGCGTGTTTTTCCTTCCCTTTTTCTCAGTCTGTTGTTTCACAAATGCTTCACCTCACTTCATATCACCATAGAGACCTGTCTGGTGTCAAAGCAATTAGCGTTGAAGAAAGACAGTGGTGGCCATCCTTGACACATCAACCTAAACTAATGGCGCAGTGAGATACATCTGTTCTACTGCACTTATTACATCTATAATATTATATTTTTTATATCATCAAACAGAGATGTACTACCCCAGATGAACCTTTCTAACCCTGTATGACCCTGTATTGCCATATCTGAAACACAACAGCAGATCCGAGGACCGAGGAGCCTTTGATATTTCCAAAGATTGTTTCTTTCTTTCAACAGGACACAATTTGTTCAGCTTAACCCAGCAGGGCTTTACCAACACTTGACATTGTTGAATCCCTTGTGAACAGAATGAGGCAATGAACATGACTCCACCATCCAACAATCCCTTACTGCTGCAATACGGTCTCCTTTGAGATCCAGCACCGCAAGACTCCTCCTGGCCACCTTAATCCATGTTCGCTTACAACAATAGCTATGTTTCCATCACCCTATTTTAATGCACATTTTGAAGTATCGCATGAGAAACGAGTGATGGAAACGCCAAATTTCGAATAAAAATCCCTTAATTCGCAAAAAAGTTTTTACTCTCGCTTGAGGTGGTTTTTGACTTGTGCGAAAAAGTGTTGATGCGAATAATGGGAGATGGAAATGCATTTTGCGAATAAGTTCCTCCAAGCACATCAAAAAAGTCATGTGACTTTGCGCTATGGGACGGCAAAACCTGACTAACCAGCGGACCGATCTCATTCCACAGCACCTGAAATGTTGTTATGGTCATTCGGAAATGCACAAGTTTGTCATCAAAGTATTTCTGTATAATTGCCTCCCAGAAATGTCTTACACGACTGCATTCCCAAACAGCAGCATCCACCTCCGAAAGCAACGACCGCATTGTGTTTCGTCTGCTCGCTCTGAGGTGCAAGTAATTTATTATATATGAAAATTATTATATTCTCCTACTTTTCTTAGTGATTTATAGTGCCAGTTTATCAGGAAGTGACGATTTTGTTCTCGTTGCTTGAAACGATGCTAGTTCGTAAATGTTTTATGCAATATTCCAGTTTTGAGCATAAGTTAAATTCGCAACTTTGGATGGAAACCCGGCTAATGGCAGTGTAGGAATTCTCTGGTCCAAAATCTCATAGAAAATGGCTGAGGGATAAAATAATTCCCTATCTGCTAAATTCGATGTTGGTGATTGTGAATCTGACATTGTTACCCCCCTAAACATTCACAGTATGATGCACATGATTCTGCATTAAAGTTGTTGAAAGGGGGAACTGAGCCAAAAACAGACAAGCATAGTTTTGAAAACAGTTCCTTGCACATATATAAAAGGGACATGCATAATACAACTCCTTTAAGATCTTGAGCTGCTAACACAAAGGTTACAGGTTTCAAGATTTCAAATAGTTGACCAAACACTACAATCCTGTGGGAGTATGTGATCTGCCGTGGAGGCCATGTGATGTACCAGCAGTATCTGCAAGGATGTGATTGCAAAAACTGCAGCATTGATCCCGAAACCAGTTTGCTGAATCTGTGGATGTTTCGAGTTAATTGTGCAAATGGCAAAAATTTTTGCAGACTGTTCAAATGTAACTAATTAGACACGTCCTAATCACTGCGCACTGCGTATAAGCAAAAACGTGTTCTTATACCTGCAATTTATTTTCTGGAAACAGTCTCCTTTTAGATTAACAAATGATACTTCCTGGATTGTTTGCAAGCAGCACAATTCTTCTGTAGGTTTGCAAGAATATTGCTAGAACCTCTAAACAATTTTGGGATTAATGAAGCAACATGCAAAGCAGACGATTTTCAGGGAACTTCCTTTGGAAATTGCGGATCTTCTTGAGCCATGCTTGAGGATGCTTTGAAAGCTGCAGGGGTTAGGGATTAGGCTCAAGGTTAAACTGCAGTATTAGATCATGATTATTGTTAGTCGAGTCCTGGTTGCAGTAGCGGAGAGAAATGGATTATGGCACATAAAGCCTGCAGGATTATTTCAGCTGCATCCATGACTACTGCATCACAAATGAAGAGCTTATGCCTTCATGAACACCAAAACAAAGAGAACTGACTGCAGGAAAACTATATTCACAGTCATGCATGAACATGTGCATATGTGTCTACGTGCATCCCATAAGGACAACATCTACCTGTTGCCTGGCAACATTTGAGGGCTAATTCAGGTCCAGTATTGTGTGCTTAGAATGTATTACTCTTCATCATCCTCATGAACTCATACAGAGGATCTCATTTCAATCATGACCTGTCCTCCTCCAAATCCCACTGTCCAGCAAAATACCCTTTCAATCCCTGTCCTCTTCTGTTATTACCTTGTGGTCTGAAATAAAGACTACTGGTGATTGTTTATATACTGGTGATAGTCATATAGTAGCAAAAACAAACAAATGCAGGACAGAATATTATAGCCCTATCTCTGGTGGTGTTCTTTGTGATAGGCATGTTTTGTTAACAAATGTTAAATACCAAATAAAACTAATACTATATTGTGTACTAATCTGATAGTATTAGCTTCTCCCAAATGGTGCACTTGATGTGTGTTCATGGACATGCATGAGCGAAGACCATATGTCCACATCAAGTGCACTATTTGGGACAAGCCCTTAGTATAAGATTAGTATAGTACAGGGTGCTCCTATAGATTCAACTACCTGCAAAACCCTAATCAAATACACCTGATCCAGTGTTTCTCAACCCTGTTCCTGGAGGCACCCAACATTACACATTTTGAACATTGTTATCTGACCTTATCTGACCCATCTATTCTGGTCTTATAGAGTGTCTACTAACAAGTTGATGAGTTGAATCAGGTGTGTCTGATTAGGAAGAGTTCAAAGATGTGTATGTTGGTATCTACAGGAACAGGGTTGGGAAACACAGGAACCCTGTTCCTGGAGACACCCCAACAGTACACACTTTGGATGTCTTTCTTATCTGACCAAACCATTTCAGGACGTGACCTCTCTACTAATGAGCTAATGAGTTGATACAGGTGTGTGTTGGGGGGCCTTAGGATTGAGTGTATAGTATTAATTTTATGTACTGTACTGTAGGCCTCTTTACCTTCAGTCATGGAAGGCCAGTGTCCTGCTGAGTTTAATAAAGGTGTTCAGAATTATTTGCAGTTTACGGACAATTGGGTTAAATTGGGATTGGTACTAAAGTCAGCAGGACATTGGCCCTCCAGGACTGGAGTTGAAGAGTCCTGGGGTAGGGTGTCCAATCTGACATCTCGTGATTCAGGGAGGTATTCATGCATCTTTTTCAGAGTTAGCACTGATGCTGAATTCACAGTGGATTATTATCTGATAGCCTACACCAGGGTCATTCAACTCCACCGCTGGAGGGCCGGTGTCCTGCAGACTTCATTTCCAACCCTAATTAAACACACCTGTCTGTAATTTTCAAGAAAATCTGAACACTGCGGTAAGCTTGTTCCAGGGTGTTTGGTTGGGCTTAAACCTAAAGTCTGCAGGACGCCAGCCCTCCAGAACTGGAGTTAAAGGCCCTGTCTCTTTGGGTTCGGGAAGCCAACATTGTGATATGTCCCAATGCTGCAGTAATCCTGCTTGGAAAACACTCTCTACAATCAGACCAGAGACCAAATTACTCACTCTCATCAACCAGGCCCCAATTCAAATGGGGGTCCATTTTAAACTATGATGGTTGGACATTAAGTGGAAGGTAGAGATGTCATCAACTCACCTTTGGCTGGGCCTCCACTTCCACCACCTGGTTTCTGTTAATGATGCCCTTGACGAGAGTCTCTACATTCCCATTAAACTTCATGAAGAGCACATAGGTGGCATAGGCAAGCAGCAGACTGATACTCTCCCAGTACATGATGTAGTTATCCAGGAAGAAAATTATGAGCATGATGAGGCCGACGATGTAGAAGAAGACATCCCTGAACAGAGGCCACCACGTCAGGTTCAGGATCTCTTTCGAGAACACGGCACACATTCCGATGACAAACAAGATGTTGAACACAGCAGAGCCGACGATGGTTCCGATGCCCACGTTACTATGGGAAATGAATACGCCGATGACGGAGGTGAAGAGCTCAGGAGCCGAGCCCCCGGCCGCCATGAAGGTGGCTCCTGCCACGTCATCTGAGATCGCGAGTTTCTCTGTGATGACCGTGAGCGCGGGGACAAAAAACTCATCGCAAACAATAGCGAGAGCAATGAACATGTAGATCATGCCAAACATGTGCAACACAACAGCACCGCCTCGCTTGAGGTGGTTTTTGACTTGTGCGAAAAAGTGTTGATGCGAATAATGGGAGATGGAAATGCATTTTGCGAATAAGTTCCTCCAAGCACATCAAAAAAGTCATGTGACTTTGCGCTATGGGACGGCAAAACCTGACTAACCAGCGGACCGATCTCATTCCACAGCACCTGAAATGTTGTTATGGTCATTCGGAAATGCACAAGTTTGTCATCAAAGTATTTCTGTATAATTGCCTCCCAGAAATGTCTTACACGACTGCATTCCCAAACAGCAGCATCCACCTCCGAAAGCAACGACCGCATTGTGTTTCGTCTGCTCGCTCTGAGGTGCAAGTAATTTATTATATATGAAAATTATTATATTCTCCTACTTTTCTTAGTGATTTATAGTGCCAGTTTATCAGGAAGTGACGATTTTGTTCTCGTTGCTTGAAACGATGCTAGTTCGTAAATGTTTTATGCAATATTCCAGTTTTGAGCATAAGTTAAATTCGCAACTTTGGATGGAAACCCGGCTAATGGCAGTGTAGGAATTCTCTGGTCCAAAATCTCATAGAAAATGGCTGAGGGATAAAATAATTCCCTATCTGCTAAATTCGATGTTGGTGATTGTGAATCTGACATTGTTACCCCCCTAAACATTCACAGTATGATGCACATGATTCTGCATTAAAGTTGTTGAAAGGGGGAACTGAGCCAAAAACAGACAAGCATAGTTTTGAAAACAGTTCCTTGCACATATATAAAAGGGACATGCATAATACAACTCCTTTAAGATCTTGAGCTGCTAACACAAAGGTTACAGGTTTCAAGATTTCAAATAGTTGACCAAACACTACAATCCTGTGGGAGTATGTGATCTGCCGTGGAGGCCATGTGATGTACCAGCAGTATCTGCAAGGATGTGATTGCAAAAACTGCAGCATTGATCCCGAAACCAGTTTGCTGAATCTGTGGATGTTTCGAGTTAATTGTGCAAATGGCAAAAATTTTTGCAGACTGTTCAAATGTAACTAATTAGACACGTCCTAATCACTGCGCACTGCGTATAAGCAAAAACGTGTTCTTATACCTGCAATTTATTTTCTGGAAACAGTCTCCTTTTAGATTAACAAATGATACTTCCTGGATTGTTTGCAAGCAGCACAATTCTTCTGTAGGTTTGCAAGAATATTGCTAGAACCTCTAAACAATTTTGGGATTAATGAAGCAACATGCAAAGCAGACGATTTTCAGGGAACTTCCTTTGGAAATTGCGGATCTTCTTGAGCCATGCTTGAGGATGCTTTGAAAGCTGCAGGGGTTAGGGATTAGGCTCAAGGTTAAACTGCAGTATTAGATCATGATTATTGTTAGTCGAGTCCTGGTTGCAGTAGCGGAGAGAAATGGATTATGGCACATAAAGCCTGCAGGATTATTTCAGCTGCATCCATGACTACTGCATCACAAATGAAGAGCTTATGCCTTCATGAACACCAAAACAAAGAGAACTGACTGCAGGAAAACTATATTCACAGTCATGCATGAACATGTGCATATGTGTCTACGTGCATCCCATAAGGACAACATCTACCTGTTGCCTGGCAACATTTGAGGGCTAATTCAGGTCCAGTATTGTGTGCTTAGAATGTATTACTCTTCATCATCCTCATGAACTCATACAGAGGATCTCATTTCAATCATGACCTGTCCTCCTCCAAATCCCACTGTCCAGCAAAATAACCTTTCAATCCCTGTCCTCTTCTGTTATTACCTTGTGGTCTGAAATAAAGACTGATTACTTGTTTTCTATAACAAAAGTGTTACTAGTGATTGTTTATATACTGGTGATAGTCATATAGTAGCAAAAACAAACAAATGCAGGACAGAATATTATAGCCCTATCTCTGGTGGTGTTCTTTGTGATAGGCATGTTTTGTTAACAAATGTTAAATACCAAATAAAACTAATACTATATTGTGTACTAATCTGATAGTATTAGCTTCTCCCAAATGGTGCACTTGATGTGGACTCGCGGTGTGTTCATGGACATGCATGAGCGAAGACCATATGTCCACATCAAGTGCACTATTTGGGACAAGCCCTTAGTATAAGATTAGTATAGTACAGGGTGCTCCTATAGATTCAACTACCTGCAAAACCCTAATCAAATACACCTGATCCAGTGTTTCTCAACCCTGTTCCTGGAGGCACCCAACATTACACATTTTGAACATTGTTATCTGACCTTATCTGACCCATCTATTCTGGTCTTATAGAGTGTCTACTAACAAGTTGATGAGTTGAATCAGGTGTGTCTGATTAGGAAGAGTTCAAAGATGTGTATGTTGGTATCTACAGGAACAGGGTTGGGAAACACAGGAACCCTGTTCCTGGAGACACCCCAACAGTACACACTTTGGATGTCTTTCTTATCTGACCAAACCATTTCAGGACGTGACCTCTCTACTAATGAGCTAATGAGTTGATACAGGTGTGTGTTGGGGGGCCTTAGGATTGAGTGTATAGTATTAATTTTATGTACTGTACTGTAGGCCTCTTTACCTTCAGTCATGGAAGGCCAGTGTCCTGCTGAGTTTAATAAAGGTGTTCAGAATTATTTGCAGTTTACGGACAATTGGGTTAAATTGGGATTGGTACTAAAGTCAGCAGGACATTGGCCCTCCAGGACTGGAGTTGAAGAGTCCTGGGGTAGGGTGTCCAATCTGACATCTCGTGATTCAGGGAGGTATTCATGCATCTTTTTCAGAGTTAGCACTGATGCTGAATTCACAGTGGATTATTATCTGATAGCCTACACCAGGGTCATTCAACTCCACCGCTGGAGGGCCGGTGTCCTGCAGACTTCATTTCCAACCCTAATTAAACACACCTGTCTGTAATTTTCAAGAAAATCTGAACACTGCGGTAAGCTTGTTCCAGGGTGTTTGGTTGGGCTTAAACCTAAAGTCTGCAGGACGCCAGCCCTCCAGAACTGGAGTTAAAGGCCCTGTCTCTTTGGGTTCGGGAAGCCAACATTGTGATATGTCCCAATGCTGCAGTAATCCTGCTTGGAAAACACTCTCTACAATCAGACCAGAGACCAAATTACTCACTCTCATCAACCAGGCCCCAATTCAAATGGGGGTCCATTTTAAACTATGATGGTTGGACATTAAGTGGAAGGTAGAGATGTCATCAACTCACCTTTGGCTGGGCCTCCACTTCCACCACCTGGTTTCTGTTAATGATGCCCTTGACGAGAGTCTCTACATTCCCATTAAACTTCATGAAGAGCACATAGGTGGCATAGGCAAGCAGCAGACTGATACTCTCCCAGTACATGATGTAGTTATCCAGGAAGAAAATTATGAGCATGATGAGGCCGACGATGTAGAAGAAGACATCCCTGAACAGAGGCCACCACGTCAGGTTCAGGATCTCTTTCGAGAACACGGCACACATTCCGATGACAAACAAGATGTTGAACACAGCAGAGCCGACGATGGTTCCGATGCCCACGTTACTATGGGAAATGAATACGCCGATGACGGAGGTGAAGAGCTCAGGAGCCGAGCCCCCGGCCGCCATAAAGGTGGCGCCTGCCACGTCATCAGAGATCTTGAGTTTCTCTGTGATGACCGTGAGCGCGGGGACAAAAAACTCATCGCAAACAATAGCGAGAGCAATGAACATGTAGATCATGCCAAACATGTGTAACACAACAGCACCGTGCCGACGGTCCTCCAGGCTGAACAGGTCAGTCGGATAGCCCCCCTGACTCTCGTTTGACTCCGCGGTCGAGCGCATGGCTATGGGTGTGTCCTCCGAGAGGTTACTGTGGTAACCCAGGTGTGTGGACAGCAGTGTCCTGTGTGGGGCGTGGCTGTGTAGCCCCTCCCACTGAGCAGTAGAGCGCCACGAGAAGGCCACTGCACTTATTGCTAAAATACTGATGAGGAGGCCGAGCACCCGTGCTGGCCTGAGTTTCTTCCACAAGCGCTGAGAGCGCTGGCGGGCACAGACGATCTGATGGTGCTGCAAGTCGGAGGCCATGGCCATTTTCTCTGCTTCGATGCTCATGTGCTCTCTCTCTCGTTACGCTATACAGTTGGGCTTAGCACATGCTGAGAATGCTACTTGTACAGTAAATCTGCAGAATCCAGATGTCCTTCAGCACACCAGAGGCTTCCTCATATTAACCTGAGATAAATAATCACAGAGAGAGGGCAGGGTCGGGGTTAATCACACACTACACAAAGCCAACAAGATCTGTGCTGCCTGTATGTCTGTGTGTAATCGGTAAGTGTGCACGTGTGAATCTGTGAGCATCTGCGATTGCTGACTTGTTCTTATTCTCAGCTGCGTCTGCATTTTCAAGGTCACAGTGAAACGGCACAATGTCAAAAGCATGTCTGCATCCCTCTCATGCCCGACACAGCACATTTCACAACATGCACCTTATATAACCACAAATAAGAGCTAAAAATCATTCACATTGATACTACTGACAAATCTGCCACAAAACATTTTGACACGTAATTATCTATTAAAAAAAAGAAAATACATGAAGAATGGAACTTTCATAGTCTACTTTCAGATCTTCTCATGCATATGTTACAACACTTCTACAATACACCCTGTATTTTCTTAGTATATTAAAGTGATTTACCCCATTTATTGTATTGAGGCATTTACACTTATTGCTGGAAAGGATCAAATTAAGTGCAAAAAAAAAGGTCCAGCAACAACTTCAGTACAGAAACTAGACATGTTGGGTCATTTGGTAAGATTAGTTCTAACTGTTGTTCTCTTGATCTTTATCTCTAATTATTTGTTATTTTTTTAAATGTATCTGTTGTTTCTTGTAATGACAATGATGCATACAGTGGAAAGTGGAGTTGGTTTAATTTGTTATTTGGGGAATTTCTGATATTTGAACATATGGGTTACTTTAATAAATATCTGAATGTCTCTAAACCCTTTATCATGTGTGACTTCAGTAAATGTATCCATGCTGACTTCTAATCATGCTGCCATTCATCATGATTTTATTAAAGGGGGGTATGGCTGTCATACCTGAATAATCACCGTCTGTCTGACATGCAACAGACCTGTCACTCTCATGACCTCTGAGCTCTGTGACCAAATATTAAAGGATATAAATGTCCATATATAAAACCACTGAATGATGAATAGTCTTGATATTTGAAGGTGAGTTCTGATCTAGCAGACCGTTATCTGTTTATACTCATACAATCACTAATGAGGCATCATGTGCAATGTACCAATCCCGAACTGTTTAATAAAAGCAATTAAACACATTGATAAACTCACTGATCGAATAAATGAAAAATGTGACTTACATTCAGAGGTGATGGATGAACGTGCAGCAGGTTGACAGTCCGCGTGCGTCCTCTCTCGTGCCCTCCAGTTCTTCCTTTCCGACTGTGATGATGATGATGATGATGATGATGATGGTGATGTTATTCAGGGGCGGAGCTACGAGAGCGCATCTCTGTGTCCAGCTCCATGCTTTTATTCCCAGACACCTATGGCGAGGAGCAACGATCAGACTGACCACAGCTCCCTCTCTCTCTCTCTCTCTCTCTCTCTCTCTCTCTCTCTCTCTTTCTCTCTCTCTCTCTGTGTGTGTGTGTGTGTGTGTGTGTGTGTGTGTGTGCAGGTGTCGCCGTGTGGCTCAGTGACGTCACGATGGCCCGAGAGGAAGCGTTGCCGTGGTTACAGCAGCGGCGACTCTCGCATCATCACGAGCTTCGATCGATAGAAAAAGCACACATCATGTATATGTATATGAAATAGAGAAAAAGAAAACATGTTTTTGATTAAAATAAAGTGAAAAAAGAAGCAACCATATTAAAGAATGTTTTTTTTTCTTTTAATTTAAAATACAAAAAAATGTATAAAATAAACATCGTTCCTGGATTGTTTGCTAGTAGCACACTTCTTCTGTAAGTTTGCCACGATATTGATTAAACCCCTAAACACTTTTGGGATTAATAAAGCAATATGCAAAGCAGGCGATGTTAAGGGAAATTCCTTTGGAAACTGCGAATTTGCAGAGGTGTGTGTGTGAGAGAGAGAGAGAGAGAGAGAGAGAGAGTGTGTGTGTGTGTGTGTGCGTCCGTGCATGTGTGTGTGAGAGAGAGAGAGTGTGTGTGTGCGTTCGTGCGTGTGTGTGTGTGTGTGTGTGTGTGTGTGTGTGTGAGAGAGAGAGAGAGAGAGTGTGTGTGTGTGTGATTTGTGTACCTGTTTTTCTATTCTGGTGGGGACTTAAACCTGAATATACAGACTCATGGAGACTCGTGTCACGGTGGGGACCTAAATTGAGGTCCCCACGGATAAACGAGCTAATAAATCACACAGAATGAAGTTTTTCGAAAATCTAAAAATGCATGTGTGTGTGTGTGTCTTCCACATAATGGTAATGAGAATGTCAGAATAAGAATACTTATACAATAATGCATTGCAGTAATGCGATTTGGAAAGAAATGTGCTTAATTTTCTTCATGCATTTATTTATTTATATTTATTTATTTTTATTTTTTATTTTTTTTTGAGTCATAATATAATTTTGAGACATTTTCTTTGCAGCCTTTCATGAGATTCACCCACATTAGCAGGCTTGATTTTATTTGGTAAACTAAAATTATCTCAGAAATTTTTTTTTCTAAAATCTGTCAGTGGGACGGTTTTCAAAAGGTACATTTGTAAAGGGTGCATATTAGTACCGTAAAAGTACATATTAATACCTTTTGAAAGGATCTCGCCCCAGTGACAGCTTTTCTACCTTTTTCTGAGAGTCTACAAGGTTTGAAAAACCTGTTGAAAAGAGAAAATCTCTCTCCGTCTCCCTCGTTGGATTAACACGCTTCACTCTTCTTGAAAATAAGGAGTCAGGCTGTGTTCTTGTGTCTGTCCGGTGTGTGGAGTGAATGTATTCAGGCGGAGAGGAAGGAAAGCGGCGCCCTCGAGTGAGCGGACAGGGATCAATGTATCGATGCTCTAATTCTGTCATTTTTGTCTCAAATTGAGACTCTCCATTTTTACTCTTCTGAAGTAATGGCTGTGTTTCCAGACGCTCTCATGAGACAGGAGTGTGAAGTGTTCTTGTGCGTTCAGTCGGCTGTAGGCCTAGTGTTTCATCGAGTAAATGCTTTTCTCTTCTGTGCGGATCTATGCAGGGCATTTTTGCTGAATCTATTACGACTGCCCACGCAGAAGCCAGAACACTCTCGCCCTCATTAACACACACATTCCTGCTGTCTCATTAAAAGTCACTGATTGATGGACACAGTTCAGAGTGAGTCATGATTTACAGTCAGAGTCTGTCCTCACTAATGCTCACACATCTTGAAGGTGGACTATAGAGGAGTTCTGTGTATTTTTGTATCTTTTTTTTGTTGTTGTCAAAAACTGATAATAATTGATAAAAAATAAAATAATTTGTAACACACCAGCCAACAGATTCACGGATAGTTTGTGTAGCCAGCAAATATAACAGAGTGTAATATTGATCAATAGTTAGTTAAGATTTAGAGCCAAACAAATAAGTGTTTACAAAACATTTTGCACTCATCAATCAACAAATCACTTGCTCGCAATCATCAAAACATTAACTGTATATTTAAACTCCCGAAGTTCATAAATTGTTCTTACCGTAATATCTTAATAATCTACTCATAGACTGTCAAAATTATTTTTCAAAGATGTAAACAAAACAAAGATTATTGGAGTACTTTTTACAAAAAAAAAATGCTACAGTTTTTCGTCTACTTTCACCTTTAATATTACAGAAGCACAAAATACTAGGATCTATCCAGTTAAGCGTCCCAATGTTCATACTATCCATCCTAAACAGTACTGTATGTGAGATAAAAAAAAAGTGTCTCAAAGCATAGTATGTTGAAAAGAGTATGCCTGAAGTCCCCGGATGGTCTACTATTTCAGGTCGATTTTTGAAGTGTGGATCCGTGCACACTCTAATGGCTAATATTACCCACAATCCATTGCGCTTTGGCAAAGGATTCGATTCAGAACTACAAAAGCCCGGTCCCAAATCGCAGCCTAAACACTCGCGGACTTCCTCTGAGTCCACACTTTTGTGACGTAATGCCGCTTTGACTGTCGGGTAGAAGAATCTATACATATATATATATTTTTTATTTATTTTTTTTGCTTGAATCAAAATTAGCTCTAACTTAGCCCTTAGTTCAGTTTTGTTATTGTGTGGATTGTATATTGTATTTAATTAACTGTCACCGTCCCACCTGTGAGACGCTTGGTTTTTGTCCTTTCTCTCTATCAAAACTTTTAGTAATCATCATACATTATATATCATTTGAAAGCTTAGAAGCCTAAGATTCGTCCTGTGAAAACCATTTTGAAATCGGACATTGTGTTACTATGCAAATGGTACTTGAAAATATTTTGGCCGTCTCCTCCCTCTTAGCGGCGGTGTCAAGTGTCATATTTCAACACGCATCACGGTCTTTTACAATCAAAACTTTGTATAATCTTGACAAAAAACATATCATTGGAAAGGTCTGAGTCTCAGGATTCCATATTTTTAGATATAACAGAGAAATCTAGACATTTGTGACAGAAAAATGTATTAAAAAAATTCAATGGAGTTTGGATGGCACCCGGTGGCTGTTTGTGGTTTAAATCTCACAGGAACCTCATTTTTTTTTCATATCAACTTCAAATTTGGAACATAACTTATTTAGTCATACTGCTTTAATGTTATACCAATTTTAGAGTAAAACCTGTTAGGTAAAATATTTATTAAATATAAAATAAAATAAAATGATTATAGTGCATTTTCTTTACCGTAGAGTTAAACTTCTATAACAGGTCGATTTTTGAAGTGTGGATCCGTGCACACTCTAATGGCTAATATTACCCACAATCCATTGCGCTTTGGCAAAGGATTCGATTCAGAACTACAAAAGCCCGGTCCCAAATCGCAGCCTAAACACTCGCGGACTTCCTCTGAGTCCACACTTTTGTGACGTAATGCCGCTTTGACTGTCGGGTAGAAGAATCTATACATATATATATATTTTTTATTTATTTTTTTTGCTTGAATCAAAATTAGCTCTAACTTAGCCCTTAGTTCAGTTTTGTTATTGTGTGGATTGTATATTGTATTTAATTAACTGTCACCGTCCCACCTGTGAGACGCTTGGTTTTTGTCCTTTCTCTCTATCAAAACTTTTAGTAATCATCATACATTATATATCATTTGAAAGCTTAGAAGCCTAAGATTCGTCCTGTGAAAACCATTTTGAAATCGGACATTGCGTTACTATGCAAATGGTACTTGAAAATATTTTGGCCGTCTCCTCCCTCTTAGCGGCGGTGTCAAGTGTCATATTACAACACGCATCACGGTCTTTTACAATCAAAACTTTGTATAATCTTGACAAAAAACATATCATTGGAAAGGTCTGAGTCTCAGGATTCCATATTTTTAGATATAACAGAGAAATCTAGACATTTGTGACAGAAAAATGTATTAAAAAAATTCAATGGAGTTTGGATGGCACCCGGTGGCTGTTTGTGGTTTAAATCTCACAGGAACCTCATTTTTTTTTCATATCAACTTCAAATTTGGAACATAACTTATTTAGTCATACTGCTTTAATGTTATACCAATTTTAGAGTAAAACCTGTTAGGTAAAATATTTATTAAATATAAAATAAAATAAAATGATTATAGTGCATTTTCTTTACCGTAGAGTTAAACTTCTATAACTTTTTGATACTTACATTTTTTGGAGAAAAAAAACAAGTTCTGTATTCCAAAGTGTTCATAAATTACAACAATTTAAGTTCGGATAATGCACTTTCATGCCTATTTTAAAACATGGGGGGTGACAGGTAAGGGGTTAAACAGTGCACAGGCATAAATGGGAACAGCTTGGCTGTACAAATAGGGCACTATAAAGCGATTTCCAAGGGTCTGCTGTCTCTTTAGAATTAGTCCATTAGTTCTTTAGAAGAGAGTCCAGGCAAACTAAACTAAACAGTCACAGTAATAAAAAAATCCTGATGTACATCCTGATCCTCTTGCTCTGTCCCAACACAACATAGGTACAATTATAATATCACCACTTTAAATATGGGAATCATAAAGTAACTTTTGGATGTTATTTGGCATGTCGCTGCGACGGATGTGGTCTGGTTATGTCTTGATGAGTTTGCTGAGAAGATAAGCTTCGTCATTTGAAAATCACTAAAATAATGTACAGCGTGAATGAAAATCTACTATCTATGGGGGTTTTTATAATAATAAAGATTTTTTTTTAACTTAAGTTTTTTTTAATCCAAAACGAAGTTTCAAATAATAACAGCAATCAAATCAAATCAATTAGCTATCGTTTATTTCTCACGCTTTCTAATGATCGAAACACCAGTGCTGAGATTTAACAGCAGCATCACACATATATCAAATATCATCAACAGTCTATTATGAATATTCTTACTTTTTTTGTCATCAAATAATAATGATTAGTAATAAACTGATGAAATACATGAAACATTTTGAGCTTTATCAATATGGCATATGCTCAGAAATATGTTGATTTGAAATTCAGATCATCTCATGTTTTCGATGAAGGTACACTCTAAAAAATGCTGGGTACTTTTTTTGTCATCAAATAATAATGATTAGTAATAAACTGATGAAATACATGAAACATTTTGAGCTTTATCAATATGGCATATGCTCAGAAATATGTTGATTTGAAATTCAGATCATCTCATGTTTTCGATGAAGGTACACTCTAAAAAATGCTGGGTTAAATACAACCCAGTGCTGGGTAAAATAGGGACAAACACAGCAATTGGGTTGTTTTGACCCAGCCTTCTGGGTAGTAACCCAACCGCTGGGCCAAAACAGCCCAATTGCTAGGTTTGTCCCTATTTTACCCAGCACTGGGTTGTATTTAACCCAGCATTTTTTAGAGTGCAGTAAGGCTGATCAGAGGTCACAAGCTCCTCCTTCATATCTAGTGTAGAACAATCCTGACCACTTGTCACCAATATATGTGCAAATTTCAGCACTGAGAATCCCCAGTTAACTTTAAGTCCACATTTTCTGGAAGAGCTCTGATGCCGAATCTCCTGCTGATCTCAGACATTACAGCAGAAAGCTCATGCCTTAGCACATCAACGAGGAGGTGGAAATCATCAACAGCATCATGTTCGACGCCGCTGAGATCTACTTCAGAGAAGACCAGCATATCTGAGAGCTGCTGTGTGAAATGCTTCAACCACAAACCAGCATCAACACATTTCACTTGAAAATACAAAGTAGATTCACATGCTTTCTCCATGATGTTCTGCTGCAGTGATTCACTATTCTCCTTCAACTTGGGTAAAACACTGACAGTGAAATGGTCAGTGATGTATCGACTGACTTCATATCCAATCTCTGGGGTTTTGGGGTTGTAGTTCATGCATGTAGTAAAATTATCATTTTCCGTCAGTGTTGTCAGGATGTGCTTCTCCAGATTTGACCTGTTTTCATTCAGCGATGGACAGTTTGTTCTCATTTCGTCTGCCAGGTCAGCTGCAGTCTTCTTGTAGACGCTCCGCTCAATGGCCTCTATGAGTTTCTGACAGATGTTCTGAGCAAAAACAGCAGCTGATGCAGCTTCACGACAGTATTTCTGGAACACTCTATAGTACTCCGATCTCTGCTTCTCAACATAGTTTACAGGGTCAGCAATTGTCATGTTTATGCGCTTACAGATGGAATAAACCAAATCCATGACGAATTCATCCGTGAATACGTATTTCCCTCGTGCTTCCTGATATTTGGTCACTCTCTTGATGATAAAACGTGTGAGTTGTTGAATGCAGCTGATGTTGTAGCCCGTCTTTGAAATGTTGAACGACTGAAACATTATTTCTTTTCTCTCATTAAGCTCGATTACTTTTCTCTCTCTCTCTTCCTTGTGATACTGTCTTTCATTCTCTATTCTGTGCATCATTCTGTCTATTTCTTTGTCGTATTTGGTCTGTAGATTGTCTTTTTCTTGTCTCCTGTCCTTAATTTCATCTCTAAACATATCTCGTTCTCTTTTCATCTCATCTTTCATCTGCATCTCCTGTTCCTTGAGTTCTCTTTTATAGCTCTCTTCTGTCTCTCGGAATTCTTCTTCTCGTCTCTTTATCTCTTTGTCATGATTCTGTCTTTCTTCCTCTATCATCATCTTCATTCTTTCGGTCTCTTCTTCTAGTTTCTTTGTCAGTTCTTCTTTTTCTTGGTTCAGTTGCTCCAATGTCTCCATTAGGATCTTCCTCTCTTGCTCTTGTTGTTCTCTTTCCATCTCTCTGAACATCTTACATGAGTAGAAACTCCCTCCATTTGCTGTCACCATGGCATCTATCTTCTGCAGTAGATCAGTCACCTGTGTTCGGTCTCCAGTCTGATTATTATTATTGAACACATGGTATCTGTTTCCACATGCTTCCACAAGGTTCATCAAAGGAGATCCAGGTTTTCCCAAACACTGATCAATGGTTTTGTCCTTCAGATCATCTCCTCTGGTGAAGAGCACCATGGTGAACATTAGAGAGTGTTCACCAAACGTCTCTTGGATGATCTTCACAGTTGTTGCCTCCTCTTGAGTGAATCTTTGTCCTAAATTGAGCACAATGATGAACACATGTGGACCAGGCAGGATCATGGGGATGCAGTTGCTGATTTCCCTCTGGACCTCCTCATTACTCAGTTCAGTATCAAAAAGTCCTGGAGTGTCAATCACAGTAACACGCCGGCCGTTGATGTCAGATGATTCTCTCTGATTCTTTTTAGTAACTGACTCTTGAGATGTTTCTGCTTTAAACGCAGCTCCTCCTAAGATGGTGTTTCCTGTTGCACTCTTCCCAGCTCCAGTTTTTCCCAGCAGCACAATCCTCAGTTCATCTTCACTCTCTGTGTAACCTGAAAATAAGGAAATGCATTAGTATTTAATTAGGGGTGTAATGGTTAAAGTTTCTTACGGTTTGGTATGTATTGCAGTTTTGGTACGGTTCAGTATGGGGTAAGGGTGAATATTTTTAATATGAGTATTTGTAACAAAAAAATAAATAAATAAATGCAAAGTTTGCCTTAAGTTTTTTTTTTTTATTATTACTAGAAATAAAAAAGAAGAAGAAGAAAAAAAAACTTAAAGTACCTGTATCATTAGGCCCTTTCGCACCGCTTTAGTTCCAGAACTAAATGTACGGTACTAAAGTACTGGGACGATTTTGCGCGAACTATTTTCCAGTACCATTTAAAGGGTTGCATTCACACCGACAGTGTGTACTAAGAAGTGACGTAAGCCGGTCGACAGCGACGTCATTTGTAGGCGGTGTTCAACAACGAAAACAAATAAAAACAACATTAACAACAGGAGGATGGAGGACGCTGTGTTCGGAGCTGTGTTTTTGTTGTGTCTCGCGGGTTTCACAATAATGGACATGGAATGTCGACGTATACGTAAAGCGATTGAAAGAACGGAAAGGAGGACTAAGAATCTCCAGCGACAACTGGCAGTGCTACATTTGCTGCACTTCAGCGTCCGTCCATCTATCGCTGTTCTCCATACTTGCGAAATAAGTTGACACAATGTTTACAGTATGTTTACACGGCGTTTTAAATCATGGCGGGGGAGGGCGTTTTCGTACGTGTTTGGCCAATCAATGTCTACTTACGTCACGATTAGTACCAGTTGTGCTGGTTAGACCCTGCTCCGGAGTAGGAGCTAATTTGGTTCTCGAAAAAGGCAGTCCGGTACTAAAATCGCTCCCAGTTCCGGCGGTGCGAACACGCCGAAAAGTGGGTAGTTCCACAATTAGTTCTGGTACTATGAAAAGGTTCCTGCGGTGCGAAAGGCCTTATTATGTATTAAGTAAGGGACTCATAAAATGTACTGTTCTTAAAATAAATAAAATTCAGTGTACATTTGCTGACAACAAACAACAGACAGATATCTGAGCGAGGATGGTCCGTGTACGTTTTGATAGTTGTTTTTCAATTTGTTTTTTCGTTTGTTCAAAAATTCTAGTAGAAAAAGGTCATGACACGCCCCTTTCCACCGATTGGTCAACCAAATCTGAACCTGTGACATCATCAGTTGTTCCTCAGTTCTGTTCAACAAATTAATAGTCCTCTGCTGCAATAGCAGTACCGATTCTTAAACTGTACGGGGCAGGTCCTAGATTCTACACTCGACTAGTAAGCCAATTCTCAAATAACTGCTATGATGGCTTTTGTTCTACCCACTTAAAGTATAGAAGTACTTGTGCTGTCCAATCTATAAAAACTGTGTCTGTTCCCCGAATAGTGAGGTCAAAATAAACATGTAATGGAGGCTTTAGAAAAACAAAATCTGATCGTGATTAAACCAGAAAAATGCCAAATAAATTAACAAAAACACTTTTTAAATTTTGGGCTCCTAAACATTAGATAACTCACCCCCCAAAGCAGTTCTTGTAAATGAAATGATCACAGATAATCGTTTTGATGTACTCTGCTTGACTGAAACCTGGCTAAAACCTAATGATTATATTGGTCTAAATGAGTCTACTCCACCAAGCTACTGTTATAAGCATGAGCCCCGTCAGACTGGTCGTGGCGGCGGTGTTGCAACAATATATAGTGATATTCTCAATGTTACTCAGAAAACAGCATACAGGTTTAACTCATTCAAAATACTTCTGCTTAATGTTACACTGTCAGATTTGCTAAAGAAATCTATCGTATCTCTTGCTCTGGCTACTGTGTAAAGACCGCCAGCTCCGTATACAGATTTCCTAAAATAATTTGCAGATTTCCTCTCAGACCTATTGATTACTGTTGATAAAGCGCTAATTGTCGGAGATTTTAATATTCACGTTGATAATACAAATGATACATTAGGACTTGCGTTTACTGACCTAATAAACTCTTTTAGAGTCAAGCAAAATGTCACCGGGCCCACTCATCGTTTTAATCATACACTAGATTTAATTATATCGCATGGAATTGATCTTACTGATATAGATATCGTACCTCAAAGCGATGATGTTACTGACCATTTCCTTGTATCGTGCATGCTGCGTATTACTAATATTAACTATATGGCTCCACGTTATCGTCCGGGCAGAACTATTGTTCCAAACACTAATGATAGATTCACAAATAACCTGCCTGATTTATCTCAACTGCTCTTTGTACCCATAAACACATATGAACTAGATGAAATGACTAGCAACATGGGCACTATCTTCTCTAATACATTAGAAGCTGTTGCCCCCATCAAATTGAAAAAGGTTAGAGAAAAACATACTGCACCATAGTACAACAGTAATACCCATTCTCTTAAGAAAAAAACTCGTAGTCTTGAGCGCAAATGGAGAAAAACTAACTTGGAAGTTTTTAGACAGGCTCTAAAAGCTGCCAGGGCCGAGCATATCCGCAAAAGTCATAGAAAATAACCAAAACAATCCAAGGTTTTTATTTAGCACAGTGGCTAGATTAACAAATAACCAGACGCCACCCAATCTAAATATTCCCTCACAGTTTAATAGTAATAACTTTATGAATTTCTTCACTGATAAAATAGATAACTTCAGAAATACAACAACAAATGTAGATTCTACAGTGTATAATACTTCAGCTTCAAACTGCTTTAAACTGCAGTGCTTTACAACTATAGGACAGGAAGAGCTAAATAAACTTATCACTGCATCTAAACCAACAACATGTTTATTAGATCATGTACCCACTAAATTACTGCGAGAGTTGTTACCTGTAGCAATATTACTAACTTGTCGTTTTCTTTAGGTCACGTACCAAAACCATTCAAGCTGGTGGTTATTAAGCCTCTTATTAAGAAACCACAACTAGATCCTAATGAAATGGCAAATTACAGACCCATTTCAAATATTCTGTTTATGTCTAAAATTTTAGAAAAAGTTGTGTTTGCTCAATTGTGCTCCTTCTTGCAAAAGAATTATCTCTATGAAGAATTTCAGTCAGGTTTCAGGCTCCATCATAGCACAGAAACTGCTCTTGTTAAAATTACAAATGGCTTCTTGCGTCAGACCAAGGCTGTGTCTCATTGCTAGTTTTACTTGATCTTAGTGCTGCGTTCGACACTATAGATCATGACATACTGATAGATCGATTACAAAACTATACAGGTATTCAAGGGCAGGCTTTAAGATGGTTTAGATCCTACCTGTCCGATCGCTACCACTTTGTTTATTTAAACAGTGAGTCATCTTAATTATCACCAGTAAAATATGGAGTGCCACAAGGATCTGTCCTAGGTCCTCTGCTATTTTCAATATTCATGTTACCCCTTGGTAATTTTATTAGAAAATACGAAATTAGTTTCCATTGTTATGCTGATGATACTCAACTATATATCTCAACAAGACCAGATGAAACTTATAAATTATCTAAGCTAGCAGAGTGTGTTAAAAATGTAAAAGATTGGGTGACCAATAATTTTCTCCTATTGAATTCGGATAAGAGAGAGATATTACTTATTGGACCAAAAATCAGTACACAGAATCTCTAGGATTATAATTTGCAACTAGACATATGTACTGTTACTTCCTCTACAGTCAAAAATCTGGGTGTTATATTAGATAGCAACTTGTCTTTTGAAAATCATATTTCCCATGTTACAAAAACAGCATTGTTCCATCTTAGAAACATTGTCAAACTACGAAACATGATACCTGTTTCTGATGCAGAAAAGCTAGTTCATGCATTCATGACCTCTAGACTGGACTATTACAATGCACTGCTAGCTGGTTGTCCTGCATCTTCAATAAACAAGCTACAGGTAGTCCAAAATGCAGCGGTTAGAGTCCTTACCAGGTCAAGAAAATATGATCATAATATGATCATACATCTCTTTGGCCAAGCATTCAAAAAATAAATCTCATAATTTTGAACTGCAGTTATATCTGATCAAATGCACATTATTATTCCTTAGCTTGGGTTGAATAAATATTTTTTTGCTTGGTTGGAACAGCAGCTATGCTAATTATGTCGCTATTTGTTTCTCTGTTTCTGCCACGGGATTGACCTCCCGTAGTAACTAGGAATTACATAAGCTTCAGTCTGGATCCAACCCTTACAAAGACCTGAGCTGACCGAACACCTGAGAAGAGATGATGCAAACCCCTCAGAGGACCTCAGATGATGCCAACCCTGAAACAACATAAACTATCAAATTTTGCTACAAGTTTGATTGCATCATATAATCATTGCTGTTAATAGTGTTCATCGTCTGTTTGATTATGTCATTAACTGAATTTTACCTTACATTTCTGCCATATGTACATCAATCTGACAGTCACCACTGACAAGCTATTACTAAATATATTGTAGGAACTTATTTTTCTGTAAAGCTGCTTTGCAACGAATTGTATCGTGAAAAGCGCTTTACAAATAAACTTGAATTGAATTCAATTGAATATTAATCTTCACCTAGCCTGTTTTATATAGCTGGGTGGAGTTAAATCAAAGTCCCTTGGTTAAATCTGTGTGGTGAAGCGGGAACGCCGTGTTTTGCCAGGATTTAAGTTATGAGTGTGCACAACCAAAACGCTTAAGTAAAATGTTGATAAATAACTAGATAATAAATAACTAACTCTAATATAAGTAACGTCAGTGTAGTTCAGTTGGACAGCAGACAAGCTTCCGCTTCATAGAGCACGAGCCCAGACCAAAGCAGCAGGAGTCACGTGTCGAGAGTGTTTAATACAATCTTTGTTTTATTTTTTGTTGTGTTTTCATTAAAGTGGTAATGAACCACAAACTGAGCATTCATTTTAAAGGGAAAAATCCAAATAGGCTACCTTAATTTATAACGCGGACAATTCATGTCTTGCTTTGTTAATAAAAGCATCTTTGAAATTGATGAAATGGCATTCAGCGCCTCTTATATAGGCAGTTGGCTCCGCCTGTTTTGGCAGGCTAAAATGCCATTTGTGCAGCTACATGACCTTTAAAGGGGTCATATGATGCGATTTCAAGTTTCCCTTTCTCTTTAGAGTGTTACAAGCTGATTGTGCATAGATAAGATCCCTGAAGTTGCAAAGACTAAAGTCTCAAATCCAAAGATATATTCTTTATCAAAGTTAAGACTCTGCCACGCCCCCCTAAAACGGCTCGTTCTAACACGCCCCCACATATCTACCTCACTATGTGGAAATATTTGCGTAATGCTGCCCAAATGTTCAGAAAAGAAAGAAGGCGTGGTGTCAGTAACCGAAGTTAGAGTTGAAGCAACACGTCAGGGAGACGCTGTGTGTTTCTAGGCGAAAGCAAAAGCACTTTATTTGGCCTTCCGGACGCAGATGCATTTAGAAATCTTTAAGATTACTTACAACAGAACAGCAATGCATTTTATGGACGACCGTTTCGTGAACCTAGGAGAGGAGGTCATTCTGACTTTGCTATGACAATCTGGCGCTTCTGAATCAGCTACTGTTTTGTTATTAGTTTAAGTATTTGCTATTGACTGTTCAAATGCGGAGTTTGTGTGTGTGTGTGTGTGTTTGCGCGCGTGTCAGAGAGAGAGAGAGAGAGAGAGCGAGAGGGTCACATCACAGTGGAGTCAGCTGTCTTAACCGTGGCTTGTGTACTGCAAACACATACCAGCTTCATCACTGTGTCTGTCACGCGACTCTGTTCCCCTTTCGGGCTTGAACTGATGGTAAAACTAATGACATTATTTACTGTCTTCACATTTATTTAGAAAGATGAAGCTCGCGATTATGGTAAGGGGCGTTACATTTCCGACGAGTGCTTGCGGTGTTCGGTCAATCACAGTGAACTGGGTCAGCTGGCCAATCAGAGCAGACTGCGCTTGTCGGAAGGAGGGGCTTTGTAGAAAACGAAGCGTTTGAGAGAGGAGGGGCATAGAGGACCTACAATAATGTACAGTATTAGAAAAATAATGTGTTTTTTGAACATTAAAGCTGTCGACATATTCTGTTACACCAAATACACAAAATAATGATCTTTAAAAAAGCATCATATGACCCCTTTAACAAAGTAGGCTTCAGTATTCTGAGTAAACAGGAGTTTCCCCATAGAGTGTTTACGCAACGCGAGAGACGCTTTCAAAAGGGAACTGTTGTTAAGTGCACTGACATTTTTGCTACAATTTCTCGTCAATAAAAAAGTATCCAACTGACACAACATGCTGTTGTTGTTTTAATGTAAAACCTGTAAGAAACCCTAATAGAGGCTATAGGATATCATTAGACCACACAGATATAGCGTTAAAAAACAATATGAATAAATTATATAAAATAAATATAAATATAAAATAAAATAATATTAATGTTAATGAAAAAAAAAACTTTCAATGAACTTTCCTCTGTTTTTTTCTTAGATCAAAGAACATTTAACAAAATCTAAAGAACCTATAATTTATTATTACTGTAATTCATTTATCACTAGAAACATCACAATTTCTCACACTCACGTCTTGCTCTGGCCTGTTCCTTCATTGTGAAATACTGCGAACCTTCAGCACAAACCAGGTGACATCCAGCATTCGTGTGCACGATGTCCTCAAACGTCTGCAGAAGATCGTCAGGAGAGCTGCTCCTCTGAAGACTGACGTGTCTGTTGAAGCATTTCTGAATGATTTTCTGTAGGCTGTCATTGGTTTCAGTGGGCTCTTGTGTGCTGAGCACCACGGTGTGTTGAAATCCCCGCTCAGAGAACGAGTCCAGCACCTTCTTCACATGCTCTTCATCTTCTGTCGAACACTGATTAGGGTTAAGCACCAGAACGATCACGTGAGGTCCTGGATCAGCCAGATACACACACTCTCTCGCTGTCTGTGTGAGCTGATGATCTGAGATGTTTGTTTGGAGCAGCTGAGGACTGTTGATGAGCATCACATGTCTGTCCTTCAATTTTCCTCCGACTCTCTCTACAACATCTGGAGGAGCTTCACCGTCAAACGTTGCTCGTCCTAAGATGAAGCTTCTCACGCCACTGTTTTCTGACACGCTCTTCCCCAGAAGAACAATCCTCAGATCGCTCACTGAAACACAACACACATGCGATATGCTGTGCGTTAGGATGCCAGGATATTGATCGTCATCCAACATCACATTGTTGAACAAAGTAAAAATAATTTCCACACACTCTTCACGTGCTTGTTCATCTATAGACTTACTCTCAGGAGGTTCGCTTCTGATCCATCTTCTCCTACGAGAAAGTCTGTCGGCAACAGCCCCTGTATGAAACATTTCTCTCTAAAGGTCACATGTTTGGTCTTCGTTTGTTGTGTAGGTTTCCACTATTTTCACATCTTCACAAATCATTTATCAATTATGTGTTCAAGTTTTTGCAGCACGCAATCTAAAGTGGAGACTATTCATCATCTGTAAATGTTTATAGACGATTACTAACCATTAGTACCTTTTTTAAGCAGTCATCTCAATGGCGCAAAGTGTCCCAAATGACCTGAATTAACCACATCTTTACAAATCATTTATTAATCACTTGTTCGTGTTTTTGCAATACCTGATCTAAAGTGGAGACTATTCATCATATGTAAATGTTTATAAATCTTTACTAATCATTTAGTATCTTAATGGGCACTGGACTTTTAGCTAATGTAACAAGGTTTATGTAAAGGTTGGTTAGTTAAGTAACACATAACACACATTGTAATTTGGGTATAAGTGCATCAACACTTACAGTATATTAGTATACTACTGTATATCATTAAACAGAATATTCCTTGAATCATACATCAACAGGAGAAAACAAATCAGTTTTTTCAAGAAAATATGTCTTCAATAGTAATCAAATTGACCCCTTAACCAACCCGTAAACCTACCCACACCACCAAACCTTGCCCTGACCTTACCCGTATCACACCTCAAAAGCAGCAACATTTTAATTTACGTTATATAATGATCTGTTAATCTTTAGGAAATGTTAAATACGTTTATTATAGTAAACATCAACAAGCACATCATCTCACATTTCTGGCTTATATATAAATATAATAATTAATTAATGATCTGTTAAGCATCATAAAATATTTGTTAATGATGTATTAATGAAAGTTATTGTAAAGTGTTACCAAGTTTCCTCAGATGTTACATATGATGATCTAATATATACTGTACATCTATCTCTCTCTCTCTCTTGTCTAGCAGTGATAGATCAGTAATAAGTGTGATATTGTAGCAGTGATTTATGATTCAAATAAATCTGAATTCTGTAGACAGTTCAGTGTTTCTGTCACCTGTGCTGAACATGATGTTCAGTCTCTCCTCTCAGTCTTTGTGTTTAGTCTTCAGCTGATCATCTCTGACTCCTGCCGTCGGTCTGTTCATCATCCTGTCAAAAGAGATTCAAGAGTCCTGAGACTCGACTCACTTGGCACAAGAAATACGTGTTATATCATACATACGTTAAATACGGTTTGCCTGTAGTTGTGTTGCTACAGAAAGATATCGTGTTAAGCTCTTGTGAGTTCGAAAATGTGTTAAACTGTGTGATATTGAACATTTATTTTTACATGCAAAACGTATGCGGGAATTCTGCATCATGTTCATGCTTCTGCATCTCTTTTTGTACGTGCTTCACGTCATCAAATATTTCTGAACACAGACTTTCACAGATGGATTTGTTTCTGTGACATAAAACTGAAAGTGAAACTCACTGCAGCTCACAAAGGTTACATTTACATTTAGCCGAAGCTTTTAAAAGCTTTTAAGCATTTCAAAGCGACTCGTTCAAAGAGGAACAAAAGGAATTTGTCAAGAAGCCAACAATATTCATAATATACAATCCCAGGTTCATTTGACAACTAAAACAGTTAATAATTAAATGCATGATTACACTAGTTAGTATATAGTTGTTATATAGTTTCATATAACAAACCTAGAGTATTAATTAATAATAATAAAAAATAAACATAAAATGTCTGATCATACCTGTACTGTATGTTGACGTTCCATCATGTTTAGAGGTTTATTTTCTTATTGCATATAGATGAGAGCAAGAATACACCTTTGTCTGCGGGGTGGAGTCCGTCACACAGCAAAGGTCAGTAACATTTACTGTCTATCAAACAGGTGAAGGTCAAAGTTCAGTCTGTGAGAATGAGATACCCTGAGAATAAATGACAAAACAACAACAGGTGACCATCATTAAAGTCATTCAACAACCACATGTACATAAAATAAAACACACTGATACAATACTGATTGTGTCAAAGCAGCTTTACAGTGACAAACATGAACATAGTTTGTCAATAATGCAAGAGGACAATAACAAACACTCAATCTAGTTGATGTGGGCTCCGCTGACATTCAGGGTTGTAGAGGTCGTCAGTGTAAAATGTCTTTTAAGTTCTATTAAAAGAACGCTCAGTGATCGCTATTTTGCGTCTGATCTGATCACTATTTTGTATATATATATATTGTATTTTATTATGAGTTTCATGTGGGTCACATATAGTTTAGGAATACGTAAATAATGCAATAAAAGTCAACTTAAGTGACTATGTTTCTAAACACATTTAAGTACACTTTTTAAAAAATGACCACTATCTGTGTCTGATCTGATCACTATTTTGTATATATATATATTGTATTTTATTATGAGTTTCATGTGGGTCACATATAGTTTAGGAATACGTAAATAATGAAATAAAAGTCAACTTAAGTGACTATGTTTCTAAAGACATTTAAGTACACTTTTTAAAAAATGACCGCTATTAAAATGACCACTATCTGTGTCTGATCTGATCACTATTTTGTATATATATATATTGTATTTTATTATGAGTTTCATGTGGGTCACATATAGTTTAGGAATATGTAAATAATGAAATAAAAGTAAACTTAAGTGACTATGTTTCTAAACACATTTATGTACACTTTTTAAAAAATGACCGCTATTTGTGTCTGATCTTATCTCTATTTTGTATATATATATATATATATATATATATATATTTGTATTTGCATTTTATTATGAGTTTCATGTGGGTCAGATATAGTTTAGGAATACGTAAATAATGCAATAAAAGTCAACTTAAGTGGAAATGTTAAATACGTTTATTATAGTAAACATCAACAAGCACATCATCTCACATTTCTGGCTTATATATAAATATAATAATTAATTAATGATCTGTTAAGCATCATAAAATATTTGTTAATGATGTATTAATGAAAGTTATTGTAAAGTGTTACCAAGTTTCCTCAGATGTTACATATGATGATCTAATATATACTGTACATCTATCTCTCTCTCTCTCTTGTCTAGCAGTGATAGATCAGTAATAAGTGTGATATTGTAGCAGTGATTTATGATTCAAATAAATCTGAATTCTGTAGACAGTTCAGTGTTTCTGTCACCTGTGCTGAACATGATGTTCAGTCTCTCCTCTCAGTCTTTGTGTTTAGTCTTCAGCTGATCATCTCTGACTCCTGCCGTCGGTCTGTTCATCATCCTGTCAAAAGAGATTCAAGAGTCCTGAGACTCGACTCACTTGGCACAAGAAATACGTGTTATATCATACATACGTTAAATACGGTTTGCCTGTAGTTGTGTTGCTACAGAAAGATATCGTGTTAAGCTCTTGTGAGTTCGAAAATGTGTTAAACTGTGTGATATTGAACATTTATTTTTACATGCAAAACGTATGCGGGAATTCTGCATCATGTTCATGCTTCTGCATCTCTTTTTGTACGTGCTTCACGTCATCAAATATTTCTGAACACAGACTTTCACAGATGGATTTGTTTCTGTGACATAAAACTGAAAGTGAAACTCACTGCAGCTCACAAAGGTTACATTTACATTTAGCCGAAGCTTTTAAAAGCTTTTAAGCATTTCAAAGCGACTCGTTCAAAGAGGAACAAAAGGAATTTGTCAAGAAGCCAACAATATTCATAATATACAATCCCAGGTTCATTTGACAACTAAAACAGTTAATAATTAAATGCATGATTACACTAGTTAGTATATAGTTGTTATATAGTTTCATATAACAAACCTAGAGTATTAATTAATAATAATAAAAAATAAACATAAAATGTCTGATCATACCTGTACTGTATGTTGACGTTCCATCATGTTTAGAGGTTTATTTTCTTATTGCATATAGATGAGAGCAAGAATACACCTTTGTCTGCGGGGTGGAGTCCGTCACACAGCAAAGGTCAGTAACATTTACTGTCTATCAAACAGGTGAAGGTCAAAGTTCAGTCTGTGAGAATGAGATACCCTGAGAATAAATGACAAAACAACAACAGGTGACCATCATTAAAGTCATTCAACAACCACATGTACATAAAATAAAACACACTGATACAATACTGATTGTGTCAAAGCAGCTTTACAGTGACAAACATGAACATAGTTTGTCAATAATGCAAGAGGACAATAACAAACACTCAATCTAGTTGATGTGGGCTCCGCTGACATTCAGGGTTGTAGAGGTCGTCAGTGTAAAATGTCTTTTAAGTTCTATTAAAAGAACGCTCAGTGATCGCTATTTTGCGTCTGATCTGATCACTATTTTGTATATATATATATTGTATTTTATTATGAGTTTCATGTGGGTCACATATAGTTTAGGAATATGTAAATAATGAAATAAAAGTAAACTTAAGTGACTATGTTTCTAAACACATTTAAGTACACTTTTTAAAAAATGACCACTATCTGTGTCTGATCTGATCACTATTTTGTATATATATATATTGTATTTTATTATGAGTTTCATGTGGGTCACATATAGTTTAGGAATATGTAAATAATGAAATAAAAGTAAACTTAAGTGACTATGTTTCTAAACACATTTAAGTACACTTTTTAAAAAATGACCGCTATTTGTGTCTGATCTGATCACTATTTTGTATATATATATATATATATATATATATATATTTGTATTTGCATTTTATTATGAGTTTCATGTGGGTCAGATATAGTTTAGGAATACGTAAATAATGCAATAAAAGTCAACTTAAGTGACTATGTTTCTAAACACTTTTAAGTACACTTTTTAAAAAATGACCACTATCTGTGTCTGATCTGATCACTATTTTGTATATATATACTGTATATATATATTGTATTTTATTATGAGTTTCATGTGGTTCACATATAGTTTAGGAATACATAAATAATGCAATAAAAGTCAACTTAAGTGACTATGTTTC